GTGGGGTCCGCGTGTATCTCAGTGAAGCAGTGGAGGTATTTGAAAAATATGGCGTAATTTTAAAAGCAATGGTTTGAAAGGCAGAAATATATATCCTGGTCCTCGCTCTACCACCACCAGTTTAAGGACTGTGGCAGATTGTCTGCCAAGACGGGGGCCGAGGGGCTTGGGATTTAGCTCAGCGGCACAGCGCCTGCCTGGCAAGTGCAAGGTCGTGAGTTCGATTCCTGGTACCAGAAAAAAACAACAAACAAAAAAGGACAACACAAGACGGGGCCAACAATTCCTTCCTCCCATCTGCACACCTCGCTGGCTTTCTGAGCGGCGAGGGAGGGGCTGGAAGCCTGGGGCATCTGTTCTCAAAGTGAAGCGGTCCGGTCCGGCCTCTGGCCTCTCCAGCTGCTGTGCGGTTAGGAACGATTCCTACCATACACCCCCAAGAAATGCAGGCCCCTGAAAGGGAAGGAGATTTGCAAACTCCACACACCCACCTTCAAGTGTGCCTGCTCTTCTAGTCCTTTAGAAATAGTCTGGACATCGGCCAAGGGGACCCGCCAAGAGGGGAAGGACTGTTGACGGGCATCCTTGTTATTTCTACGTCTCAGTGAGCAACCTAGTAAAGTTTCAGCTCAAATACCTTAAGAAGGCTTTATGAAAAAATACCACCTATCCAAACTACACGGCAATCCTATCAGTATCTTTACCTCCTCTGTTCCGTTAGGAACTGCAGATACAGCACGACGATCGAACTGGGAATGAAGCTTCCTTTGCGGCTGGAAGAGGTCTACAGCCCAAGTTCTGCTGATCAGCTGGCAGTGAGGAACCTGTTTCCAACCCACATTCTACTCCTGCCTTCACCTTTATAAATCCGGATGGTGAAGCAGCTGCAAGGAAGCTTCTTTCACTGATGTCTATGGTTTCCCCTGGCGGCTTATTTATGACCCTTTCTTATCTCACTGTTTCCTGCAGTGATCTTACCCTCCCGCTGCTGTGGTTTCGGTCACCACAGCTGACCAGGGACTCCTAACTCTGTGTTGATAAGGCTTCTCCTTCGAGGTCAAGACTCACTGTTAACTATCTTTGAGGCAAACAGCTATTTCTACCTCAGAGCTGACACGCTGGTAGTAACCTGAAAAAAACCTCCTTTTCATTCTAGTCTAAACCTAACTCTTCTACGTCCCTAAGACACTGGTGGCCTATGCGGCGGTTTAACAACGTGTTCATACTGCCCGTATTTCTCCCTTCAAGCGCGGAGGCAGGAGGGCTGCAGTTCTAGGAAGGACAGCCTAGACTACAGACCCTGTCTTAAAGAAAAGGTCTGTGCACTTAGTAACTTGTTTCTTTTTCTTTTTTTAAATTTTTTAATTTTTTGGAGACAGGGTCGTGTAATTCAGGCTGGCCTCGAACCCGCAGCGATTGTCCTGCCTCAGTCCCCCAGATGCTGGGGTTACAGGCATGCGCCACCACGCCTGGCCAGCTACTTGATTCTACCGAGGAGAACACGGCAGAAGTGATGATGTCTGACTTGTAAGACAAGGTTTCCCCCCGGTCTGGTCTCTCTTGAAGCCAGCTGCCAGGCCCGGGTCGCCCAAGCTGACCTGTGCGGAGGCCCCGTGCCGAGGGTGTACAGGGAGAACCCGAGGCCTTCCCCCGGCACCAGGCCGGGAAACCCTCCAGGAGGCGGACGCCCAAGCCCACTTGGGTACTCGGGTGACTGCAGCCCCGGGCCGCGGCGGACTGCAGTGAGAGGCCTTGGGCTGGAGGCAGCCAGGCCCCTGCCTTGCACAGCTGCGAGGGAACAAATACCGGGTTAAACAGCTTTGGAGTAACTCGGTACTCAGCAAACTGCTTACATAAGCTAGACAGCACCCAAGCCCGCACACAACAAGCGGTAGGGGCATGAGCACTTTAAGGGAACCCTCCTCCCTCCCTCACCACGCCCTCCCGCTTTCTCACTGAATAGCACCACCCCTTAACCCGGTCCCCAGCGAGGACCCTAGAGGGCACACGGGCGCTGCCGTTACTCGCTCGCTGTCACGGGGCCTGTCCCGCTCTTCCCGCTCTCACTCCGGGCGGGGCCTCCTTCCAATCTGCACGACACCCTATTCCAGCTTTCCGCTCTTCCCGCAGTTTCGCAGCTCCAACGTGCGCTCTTCCCAACGTGTCTGTCACTCATTTATACAGTTCCTGTCACTCAAGCCGCACCGCTGGCTTCCACACTGCACCGCGCAGAATGCAGACGTCGGGGCGCGGCCTGACCCGTCCTGGGGTTCCTCTTCCACCCCCCGTGCTCACAGCCTCGAATCTGGCTGCCCTGCGCCTTTCCCTACGAGGGGTGCTGTGGTCCTTCCTGAAGACCCGTTCCTCCCTTACAGCTGGCGGTCGTCGCGCCCCTGCAGAGGACTGAACCCAGGGGTGCCGTGCCACTAGGTACATTCTCACTTGTTTTTACCTAGAGACAAGATGCCATAAGGAGTCCAGGCTACCTCTGAATGTATGAGCTTCCCGCCTCAGCCTTCTAAGTAGCTGTGAGCTCAGGCGGGTGCCACTGGTCCCAGCTTGACTGTCATATATTACATTACTTACCAGAGCACCCACCACACAGATCACTGTAGTACCTTCCAGTAGAATGTGAGCTTGTGAGGGAAAAAAATCTATTCTCCATAGCGACACATTTACTTATTTACACATACAGGGTGTATCTGTGGAACACGTACCTGACAGGCACTAAATCAGGCGTGTATTACCTAACGGCAAGAGACACACACACCTGTCCTTCCAGAGTTTACGTCTATTCAAGAAAGAAGTAAAATGAACAAGCACTGTGAAGTCAGAAGTGTCCCGGGAGGGTGGGTGCGAGGACCTACTCCAGACTGCGAAGTCACTGGCTGTGCTGGGACATTTCCTGAGCTACCGTTTTCCAGCATGTTTATATAAATTAGAGTTTCACCACTGAGGTGTGCGTGCCAGGCTCATCTCATCCCGATGTTTTTTTTTTTTTTTTTAATCTTTGCAGGAAAAGGCGCAGAGCCGCCAGGTTCCAGGCTGTGAGCATGAAGGGTGGAAGAGGAACCCCAGCACAGTCAGGCCGCGCCCCGACATCTGCATTCTGTGTGTGTCAGTGGCAGTCTTTCGCTTGTAAATTCTCTGTGCTAAAAATCTGGAAAAAGAATACAATTAAATATATGTTGTAAACAGAGACTTCACAAAGCACAAGTAGAGAGAAGCCAGGCTTGTATGTGATTAGGGTTATATGTTAAATGTGTTACAGATAATTTAAAAATAATCTCTTACAAGATCACACATGTTGCTATGTAAAAATTAATGTTGAAAACAGAAAATGAACTGAAAAAAACAAAACAAAAGGTCTCTCTGGCATTCAGAAATCTAAAGCAATCACTGTTCAGCTTCAACTCCCCTGGAACCCTGTATCTCTCTTGGCTTGCTGCCGAATGATTCACAACTAAAGCATCCCTGGGACATGTGGATGTGATAATGTTTTTACAAAATTCTAAGTGTTTTTAGAATGGGAATGGCAGGATAAGAAAATGACACTGAAATACATAAAACTTTTTGTACTAATAATTATTCATATTCTATAATCAACTAAAAGAACTAAAAACCAAAACCTGATATATCGTTACATATGAAAATTTTCAGCTGTTACTTATGATAGCTGAGATTTTTAGGCCTAATTTCATTTTTTTTGTTGGTCTTTTTGAGACAGGGTTTCGCTGTGTATCCCAGGCTGACCTCAAACTCATGGCAATCCTCCTGCCTCAGCCTCCTGAGTGCTAAGATTACAGGCATGCGCCACCACACCCAGTGTTAGGCCTAATTTCTTACATTAACACAGAACCCATAACAAATTCCCAAAACAGCACAAATATTGCCTTGGGTTACAAAATTTTTATTTACAATTGACATACCTGTATTTCTAACAGTTTTAGTGTACATCAAAAAACAGGGTTACCAAAATGGCTGCCTTCTAAATATGGGGTCTGGAAAAACCTGATGAGAATAGCTGAGGAACACCACACTCACCATGGCGGCTGGAAGAGTAAAAGGTGACTCTCTGGAGGCCCCATCTCTGCGGCAGCGCGCGCCGGTTCTCCGCGGGAATCTTGCCGGAACGGGCGCTTGTTGCCAAACCTGTTACACAGTTCTTTCCCTTGGCAAATGACAGTTGCCCAACACGAGAAATATTAACTCGTAACTTTTCAGAGGAAGGAAGTGTTTTGTTTTTTCTCTTGATGTCCGCAAAGTAATTTCAACAAGTTTTCAGGGTGTTACCTTTATTAACGTGCAATCACCACCACTTTGAAGTGGTATAAAAAAATTCATCCTGGGTCAGGGACAGGGTTACAGCACTCGCCATTACTCCTGGCAGTGGCAATACTTAACCTTTTGATCTGCTCACAACAGAACATGATACAACTCAAATTACCGACATAATACATCACGATAAATACTCCTTTAGAAACAAACCACTCTCCCGCAGCCGCCCGAGCACGCCGGGCTCCGCCGGCCCGGGAGCACGCTGCCCCGCCCGCTCGTTCCCGTCCGCCGGCTTCCGGGCTCCGCGTCACGGCCCCTCCGGCGCCCT